AAAAATTCTAAGCCCGAGTGTTCTGACATTTTTCTCTACGCCTCAATTTTTCGTTCTTATCACCAATTCGTGATCGCTGCATCTAAAATCAACTTAGTAAATTGTTTGTATAATAAAAAAAATCAAGGTAGATAACAGTGTGCAGAGTAAGGATATTAGAATTACACTGTGCTCTTGCTTATGCAATTAATACTTTCTTTTTTTTTTTAGAACGAATGTATGGGATCGTTAAACCATTTGTTTTATTAAAACAAAAAGGATGAATGCAATCACAATCAACGAAAGATTGGAACCATATTTTTCAGATCAATAAATGTCACTATTGGCAACTTTTGTATTGTTCAAAGTAATTATTTTCGTTACTTTATTCACTAAAACTCAACAGGCACGAAATTAAACATCATCAGGAAAACGACGGCAAAGAGGCCATTCCGGATGAATGACCTTCCTGGAAGGATTCAATTATGATCTCCAACCAGCACACTTCCCATTGTATCCTCACTGCTTATACGTATCTGTTCTGACAAAAAATATCAACACTAGGCCACCGAGCTTCTTTTATCACAACAATCCAAGGCGTTTTCAAACCCGTTACTAGTTAGAAACGCGTAGCTAGTTTAAAACTAGACGTTCATCTTTTATACATGAAGTAGATCTTCCTTTTCGTCTAAATGGCGCTTTTAAATTATATGATCTGTTCATAAGGACATCGTTCAAGTCCTGGTTGAGCTATTAGATGATGATGATCTTAACTCTAAAATAGTTTAGAAAACTGACAATGGACCTTGAATCATGAGTGTTGATTTTTTATGATTAAGCATGCACCACCATTATGATTAAGCATGCACACCACAATGAGGGTCATTGCTAGAGTCAAGGATTACTACTCTTAGATAGTTTGGACGTATGAAAAAATGTTTTAGTGATAATTTGCTGTTTTATTTGATTTCTTAAAAAAAGCTTTAAGGCGTGGATGCTAAAGCTAAATGTTTTAAATTATAAATTCCATAACGCTTGTAGGTAATGCCTTAAGTTTTATAAGTTTAGAAGTCGTAGAAGTTAAGCTCAGACGTCTTATTAGTCAACTTCAGAATCAAACATTAGTTCACTACAGAAGCCGAACGACCTAAGCCAAGTGAGTTAACAAATCGACTGTTGAGGTCTTATGATCTTTTTGTAGATAAGAGCTTTTTACCTGGATAAAGTCTGGAACGCGCAAAAATGGGTCAACTTCAAATTGGTGTATTTCTGTTAAAAATGCATAAAAACCCTGAAATGCTTAGTTGAAGATGGAGTAGATGGAGGAGATGAGAGTTGATAGTTCCGTTAGAGTACAGCAGTGTGAAAATTGCATATAGATAGTAGATAGTGAGCTAGGACAACTTTTAAGGAAGGTACAAATCGGTTTTTTCATCTCTCTTTACCAAACTCCCCCTTTGGAGAAAATGCTGCATTTTGAAGTTGAGTGTATATACAATGGTTGCTATGATGAGTTTTCACCGTTTGCTCTCCAGTTTTCAAAACGACGTCCAAGCAAGATGAGCAGCGTGTCAAAATTTTGCTCGCGCAGCAAGGCAATCCGACGTTCTCTCACGCCAAGTTGGCAAAATTGCTGGATGTGGCCGAATTGACCGTGACAAACGTTTTAAAAGTGTTCGGGGAGCATCTGTCGACCGCCAGGAAGCCTGGAAGCGGCGGCGGCAATCGTAATCCGAACGTGACAGCGACGACGAAGAAGGTGGCGGTGAAATATAAGCGGAATCTTAACCTCTCCATCCGTGACGTGCAGCGGGCCAAGAAACGAGCCGGGTTGTCGACGTTTAAAAAGGTGAAGGTGGCGAATCGAGATTACAAACAAAACACGTCGGCAAAGCAGCGGCCCCGAAAGCTGTATACAAATCTGCTCACAAAGTTCGACTGTGTCGTCATGGACGACGAAACTTATGTGAAGTCGGATTTCAAGCAGCTTCCGGGACAGGAGTTTTATACCGCATTAGGAAAAGGGAAAGTGGCTGAAATTTCCAAAACCATCAAACTATCAAAGTTCCCGAAAAAATATCTCGTCTGGCAGGCCATATGCACTAGACTGATGCAAAATTTGACTTTTTCGCTCCACAATACTTAAACGATTCCAAATCGGATCCTGACTAACCTCTCAAAATTTGAAGCCCTTTGGTGAGAAACTGAGATGGCACAAACCATTTGAAGTTTGTATGGGAATTACTATGGTAAAACCAAGATTTTTGTTCATGTCTATCTAATAATGCATAATATCGGTCTGCTTCAAAAGCTTTCAACTGTACTTGTAAGAAATTTTCCCAGCTACAACTTTGCCGAAGACCACTTTTTGATTAAATGCAAGGATCGATAAGTTATCAATGGTTCAAAGCGCTGATGTCTAATGATCATGCTCAATCAACTGCTCAGCAGGCAACATTGGTGTTTCTGGGGCGTTGAATAGGACACAAAAATCATGGCTACTATGTCACACTGCAAAATACAGTGTTGCCTACAGAGCAGCTGCTTGATCATATCATAAGTTTACCAATCTCTTAAATAATTAATAACTTTTTCCTGTCTCGTTTTACATAGAAACAATCTTCAACAAAGTTGTAGCTGAGAAAATTTTCTTTAACAATGGTAATCGAACTGTTTCGCAGCTCAATATGGAAAAAGACTGGAAGGCAATGAAAAAAAAGTTGAGATTTCCCATAGTAATTTACATGCAAACTTCAAATGGCTTGTGCGGAGTCTGTTTCTAACCAAATGAGTTGTAACTTTGGGAGGCTAATCAGGGCCCGATTTGAGACCATTTAAGCACTGTGGAGCGAAAAAGTCAAATTTTGCATCAGTCTAATATGCACGTGTGGTCTAAAAAGCGGCATTTTCATTACTACATGAACCATCAATCAAGAGATCTACGTCCAGGAGTGCCTTATTGAAATGGGCCCGGATAAGTCTGCAACCGGAGGGGTGGAAAGTGGGAGTAAAATGCCCAATATACAAATAGGGTGACAAGATAGAATGTGAGAATTTCCGATTCTTAACGCAGCCTAGCTTTTTCTGTCGTCTATCGCCGATAAAAGGTATTATGATCTCATAGATCACTATTTAATATTTTTGAAATCAGTTAACTGGTTCCGGAGATATGACCAGAACATGTTCCGGTGAGTATGGTTTACGAGAGTGGAGGTTATCTAAAACGTGTCAAACCCTTCATGCGACACCTCAAATCAGATGAGAATTCAAGAACAGGTTCATCGATAGTCATTAGACTGATGCAAAATTTGAAATTTTCGTCATACTTAGTGCCCAGGACACACCGGGGAAGTTTCCAGTTCTTGACGAGAAATAAAACCCATCATGCAAAATATCAAATGACATCAGAATTCAAAAAGAAAATCAATGCCATCCAAATCGAATATCTTAGACCACATTGGCTGCATCCGGCTATGTTACGGAAACCCCGAGCAAGTGGCCAGTTCCTGAAATTACATCAGAATTCGAAAACAAGATCCTGGTCGAAATGCAGAATATCGAGTGTCCCGGACTACATTGGCCACATCCACTCCTGACGGAGTGATCAGTTTATACTAGAGCCAAAAAACATCGTGTGATTTATTGCGTCCCTACTGGCCCTCAACTTAGTGTTCTTTGAGTACTTCCACAGTGGTTAATTGAGAACTTTCTAAGCCAGTACCATTTTTGCATTAGTATAATTGTATGGCAAGCACAATCATATTATTTTCCAACCCGAAAACATCCTAGACCGGACCTGAAATCGAACCTAGTCGCCTCCAGCATGGCCTTGCTTTATAGATGCGCCTTTACCGACTGAGCTAAGGGAGGTCCCAAAAAAACTACACGAGAACTCTAAAACCAGCTCATTGCTTGTTAAATTAAGAACACAAGACCACATTGGTCAACACCTGGAGATGTTTCGGATATCCCCTGATCTTACCATTGGTGGATACATTTTGTTTTTTTTTTTAATCCTGCGTATCTCAAAATCGATATTTTCCGGTGTCATGTTATGACAATTCCAGGCAAAAAAGTAACATGTGATACACCTTGAGGCAAACTTCGATATGCCTCACACGGGATATCCCCGCAATAATCAGTTGCATAACAACAAGTCTCAAATTTGCGTTCAAAACATGCAACGAAACTTCAACTCTCCCTCGTTTCTCTCATTAATCGATGATAAAAAAAATCCCATCTCGAATTCCTTCCCATTTATGGTTTCGTGGAAATCATTGGCCGCACACGAACAACTTCTGCATCATACGGTCCGGTTGCAGTTTTTGCTCTTAGTTTCGACTTGAACGACTTGGTACTATTGGATCTACTACCTACCTTCTGTTGTAAGCACGCTCACTGCACTACAGCTAGTGCCGTGACATGTGATTTGCATACCGTATTCGCACTTTCGTCGTCGCCGTCGTCGTCACGGCGGCTGCCAACTTGTTGTGATCAAATGATTGTGGAGAAATAAGTACTGAGTAAGTCTGTTTTGGCGACGGCTTGAAAGAAGACGATGTCTCTTTTACGACACCAGCCAGCGAGCTAGGATTGTCCAAGCTTTCAAGCAAACGGATGATGTTTAGACCCTTAGCGTAATTGCTAGATCCACTAAACATGTTTGTCTGTATGGGAAAATAAAATCGTCACTCTTGACCATCCCTCGAAACTATATATTTAATTTCGTGTTGCTGATGACTAATCCCGCACGGTTGGGGTGAACACAGTCGGTCGGGTTCCATCGATTGCATCTACTTAACGTAGTGTGCGGCAGGGGCCAGCCCCTTCCATCAAGAGTCGCGTTTTCTGCGGCTGTGCATTAACCAAAACTGTTGAATGTTTAATGTGTGTATTTTCTTTCTTCTCTGATTTTTTCCATATATGTCCTGGATCTTACTCGCTGTGGCACCAAAACAACACTACCATCAACAACAACAACAATAACAATCACGACCACTCCGACACATCACGACCATCAGCACGGTGTACTACACAGAAAAGGTACCTCACCAAGGTACATACAGCCGTCCGTCGACTGGTCCAGGGAGCTCACCCAATCATCAAAATTAGTTAGCCAATCAAATTACACTACGTGAACGATCGCAATGAGCATTCTGTATCCGGTCTAGAGGATCTTTGCGTACAACAGCACAACCCAACCGAGCTACAGTGTACAGCTACACTGCAAGCTCAATGTTTGAACATCTTCTGTGATTTATCCGTGCGATATTGCATTTCATTTGTATTTAAAATTCGAATGTTGATCCGTTGTTGCATTTTAGTTTATCTGTAAGTGTTTGTGATAAATATTAAGATCTGTGAGTGCATTTTTTGCATCGAAGCCTATAGTAAAGGAGAGGAAAAGTGTTCAAAAGGAAGTCTTTGATTGTTGTGTGTCGCTTAGTAAAGAGGAAGCTCTTAAGGTCAGTGTAGTGAACAGAGAGAGAAAAAAAGAAGAGCTTCGATCAACACTGACCGACTGACCGCGAAGATTTGCGCGTATAGTGCTGCACCACAAATACTAACGGGTGCACATCGGTGTAGTGGTTGCGTGACAAGTTGACGACCGGAAGCTACAAGATGGACAGTCCCGGCGCTGTTGGAAGGCGTCGTGGAAACTCGCGAATCAATGCCGAAGACCAAGCACTCGACCAGATCGCCAAGGAGGTAAGTACTTTCGATTTTTCCTACTGCCTATCTACCGACCTGCGTCTACCAATCTACAATCTGCCGGTAAAACGTAAATGCACCTTAATGGGTTTGAATTGATGGAAACGCGTGGGTTTTTTTTTTTTATTATTTTATTGAAGCAAACTTCCGATTAGATATTTGAAGTTGTTTATACACTGTAGCTGAAGCGAGGTTTTTACGCTTTGAGAAGGTGATATAGACAACTCTTTCGACAGGTAGTGTGGGTATAGTTATTGTTTCATGCAACACGCGCTCAGATCAAGGCCCACCAAAGAGTAGTTTATTTTTGGTTGATTTTTTCTTTGGTTCGTTTTTTCTCTGATTGATTGAAACGGTTCCGTGCAATCACACCATTTTCAGGCAGTCTTTTTGCGCCTCACCGTACGCTATTATTGATTAAATACCTTACGTGTGTACAATAAATTGTTTGGAAAGCAGTTACACTTTCAAGTAGACGATTCGATACTAATCCAATAAATATTGGAACAATTTTGACTTTGAAGAGCCAAGTTCTTAAAGGAAGAGTACCGTCAAACGGGGTGGATTTTCGGTTTTGTTTTTTTCCTTGATTTGTTTTCCGACCAATGCACAGTGGTACAGAATGCAGATTTAGCTGGAATGATATGTTTTGAGCCTGAAATTGAAACTTTAGACTAAAAGTCTCTTCTACAAAGTTGTTCCTTATAGTTAGGCCCTCATTTTCATGACAATGAATTCTAGGGGGGTTCCTATTATCAATTAAATCAAACATCTAACTTTTTTGTTTGAATAAATTAAGGTATACATTCTTCGGCAAAGTTATAGCTGAGCTAATTTCAATTTCTTTTTTTTTTTTTCCTTTGGTTTGTTTTTTCCGTCGATCTTGTTTTCCGTGCTGAGCACCAATGCTACCGACGTGCCAGGAAGGCAGCTCCCACACCTGGACCCTACCTATCGACCCATCAACTCATGAACCGGGGACCAACGGCTTTACTTCCCATCCGAAGGAAGGCGTGATCAGAGATGTTATGCCTCAGAACATCCCGGCGGCGCCGACTGGGATTGAACCCAGGCCTGCTGGGGTGAGAGGTAATCACGCTTACCACTACACCACCGGCGCCGTTAGGGAAAATAGATTTCGGGGGGATGTTAGCACAATATTCCCTGAAGTTCCTCACATGCTCTATTGATCCAGCAATTTTGCTGATATTCATAAAACATCCTTGAAAACCCCACAATGTCTTTTAAGTTTTCGGAACATTCCTGAATTGGAACTCGGAACTCCTTGAAAGTTCTTGCAATTTTCCTAAAGAGAAGGGGGCTGTTTTGAAGTTCTCTGATCATCCTCGAAGTACACGAAACATTTTTTTAATTAATAAACATCAGCATTGAAGTTCTCTGATCTTCTCGATTTTTCAATTTATTTTAAGTTCTCGAAACTGCCGATAAAAAACACAGAACTTGTTCATGTAACTTCCCTTACGTTTTCAAAATTTTCATGGACCTCTCGGAGCTTTACTGAAGTCTTCGGAAATTCATAAATTTCCTTGAATTTATATGTCCTGATGTTCTCAGAGCAAGTTATCTCAATTCTCCTGAAACAAATGGAACTATCCTGAAAACCATTAAATTTCTTTGAAGTTCTTTGGACTTGTTCCTTATTAGAGAGTTGTATAGATTTTTCTCCTTTAGTTTACTTAAATCTTTGGTTTTTATTAGTTAGGTAGGTTCCGATTCAACACATTGTAGTTTCATTTTTATACCTGTGATCTTGACTCTTTTTTACCTAGGGGATGAGTACTTAAGGTGGTTGGATTTTGATAAATTCTTTAGTGGGAATGACACTGATGAAGACTGCACATTGTAGTCAAAATTCGTATCTGATACCAAAATTAATTAAGTGGAATTAAATGGAAGATAACCTTTTTTGCTGTTTTACTAGTGAAGTTTCCAAAATATTTCAGTTTCCTTAAGTTTATTTTGTTTTTTCTTCATCGGACTTAACGTGTCTAAATGAAGCCTGATGGGGAAAAGCCTAGAAAAGGCGTAAAAACCCCATATCTTTTCGAAATACATGAATCACAATAATACAATACAATACAATTACAACGAACATTAATCAAGTCTATAGCATAAAAAAGTTATTCTCCCAGACTCGACAACAGGACCGCGACGACTAAGATGATCGCTGGCAGCAAGAGACGGGACTATGTCGGGCTGAGAAGAGGCCTCCAAAATGCTATCTAACATGCGTCGCGGGGTCCTTAGTCCATCATGGATTACTCCGTTAGTCAATCGTCGTGTTTCAGTCGAACCAGCCGGTTGTTGCTCTTGAGGCGGTGAGGCGCTGGAAGCAACGAACGAATCAGGAGCGGAACTGGTGATGACACGAACATACTTGCCTTGAGTTGCGGGTTGCAGGACCCCTTCTTCAAGCCCACACACAGGTCCAGGACGACTGCAGGACGATGACTGGATTAACTCGACTGTGGCGGGAGAAGAAGGGGCTTCCGCAGTGCTAACTTCAATGCGTCCCAGAGTGTTCAGGTGACAGGCGGGCGATGCATAGTTGATGGTTGGTAAAGCGCTAGAACCAATGGACGAATCAGGAGCGGGACTGATCATGACACGATCATACTTGTCTTGAATTGTAGGTTGGAAGACCCCTTCTCCAAGCCCACACACAGGTCCAGGACGACTGCAGGACTGGATTAACTCGACTGTGGCGGGAGAAGAAGGGGCTTCCGTAGTGCAAACTTCAATGCGTCCCAGAGTGTTCAGGTGACACGCGGGCGATGGATGGTTGATGACTGGAACCAATGAACGAATCAGGAGTGGTACTGGTCGAGAAACAGATGATACTTGCCTGACGTAACAGACTGGAAGACCACCTTTTCAACTCACACACAGGGCCGGGACGACTGTAGAACGCTGGCACGAATGGCTCGACTGTGGTGAGAGAATTGGTGGCTTGCATGGTGCTAACATCGGTGCGTCCCAGAATGTTTTTTAACTTCACTATGTCTGGTCCATTGTTGGGGTGTCCGTTTTGGGTGTTTGCGTATTTGGATCCAGTATTGCCAGCTTCGTTGGATGTTGAGATTTTTGCGCACCAAAATTTTCGAACTCGCGGAACATGATGCCCTCGGGCCAGGTTGCAGCATCCAGTGCCTTAGTCTTCAATCTTTTGTCGATGCCAACTTTGAAGGATACGAATGACAGCGTGCTGTCCTTTCCCTTGGGTACAAGTTTTATGACAACAGGGTTGTCATCTGTTTCCAAATTAGCTTTCACAATGGCAGAAACCGCTTCATTGGCAACTTCCGGATGAATATGAGATAAGTTCATTGGAGTTCTCTGGGATTTCCTGATATTCCCGGGTTCTCGAATTTGAACAGAACCTACGGAAAATTCCGAACTATTCTGAAGTTTCAGAACTTCTGAAAAGTTCCTTAAGTTTTCCTGGAATAAAATTCTGGAAGCATTCCTGAAGTTCCGGAGAGGTTGAAAAAAAGGACAGGAGAAGACGGAGAACCTTTCGAGCGAAGCTAGAAAAAGCTTCCAAGGGAAGTCGAAAAACTTACCCTTATATTAAAGTTCTTTCATCTGTAGATCCTTCTAAAGGCCCTGGTCCAGACTGTTGGCCGCCATCGTTCATTAAGAAATTTTCTGCATCTCTCGCTTCACCTGTGTCGATTATCTTCAATCGTTCGCTAGTTAGTGGTGTTTTCCCCACAATGTGGAAGGTTGCGTCCATCACACCTATTCACAAAGCTGGAAACATCCACAACGTTGAAAATTATCGCGGAATTTCGATTCTAAGCTGCCTCCCAAAAGCTCTGGAGAAGATCGTATATGAGGTCGTATATCAAGCGATTAGACCAATAATTACCGAACATCAGCACGGCTTCGTGAGGAAACGCTCTACAACAACCAACTTAATGGTGTTTGTCAACTCGCTGATCAACTCCATTGAAAAACGACGACAAGTTGATGCGATCTACGTGGACTTAAGGCGTTCGATAGGGTTCCACATGTGCTTGCAGTGGACAAAATGAGGTGTATGGGATTACCTAATTGGGCCACGAAGTGGCTACAGTCTTACTTAACTGACCGCTCAGCCTATGTAAGCATTAACGGTGTTAATTCGCCTAGTTTGAGATACCCTCTGGTGTTCCCCAAGGTAGCCATTTAGGGCCTTTAATTTTCATCCTGTTCGTGAACGATCTGTGTAATCGACTGTGTTATCCGAAACTTATGTTCGCCGATGACTTAAAGATCTTTCGTACAATTAAGTCAAGACTTGACTGTTATGCACTCCAGAAGGATATTGATTCCCTTTTGCGCTGGTGTACATTGAACGGTATGCAGGTTAATGTCACAAAATGCTGCGCAATATCTTTCAGCCGTTCACGCGAGCCCTTACGACATGACTATAGGATAGGACTCAGTAGTTTGCTCTTCGTTTCTTCAGTTAAGGATTTGGGTGTTATCATCGACTCTAAAGTCAGATTCAATGAGCACAGCTCCATGATAACTGCTAAAGCATTCGCCACATTAGGTTTCTTGAAACGAAACACAAACGCATTCCAGGACATCTACGCGCTGAAATCACTATACCGTGCTCTCGTCCGCAGTCTTCTAGAGTATGCTGTTGTTGTGTGGGCACCCTTTTACGCTATTCAAGCTAACAGAATCGAAGCCATTCAGCGAAACTTTGTAAGATACGCTTTACGTGTTCTGCCCTGGAACGATTCGGTAAATTTGCCGCCTTACGAACAACGGTGCAGGCTGATTGACCTGAACACGTTGGCAGCAAGGAGGAAACTACTTCAGCGACTCTTCGTGTTTGGATTGCTTAACGGTGACGTGGATTGCAACTCTCTTGTGAGCCAAATCTACATCAATGCTTCTCAAAGAGTTCTACGTAGTTACACGCTTCTGTGGCAACCTACCCATCGGACCAACTATGGATTCAACGAACCGTGGACTTTGTG